CTCGTTGTGCAGGCCCGAAGTGCGGCTGCCGGGCGGCTGTTGGGAGCTCGCAGCAAAGAGCTCCGAGCGCAGGGAGCGCTCCGGCCGGGAGTCTGGGAAGTGCTGTGACCTGGCCGGACCGGCGGCGGTCCTGCCCCATCCCTGGTTATCCTTCCGGCTTCATCCCGAGGTCCTCCCTGTTCCGTCGCTGTGGCTCCTCTTCCCTCATCCCTCAGCTGTTGTCCTGCCCCTCCTCGGTCACTCCTCCTGCCCCATCCCTGGCTTCCCCTCCAGCCCCGTCCTTACAGTTCTGTACCCAGTGCTTGTCACTACCTAGAGCGCCGCCCTGCTCCTTCCTTTGGGGGTGCCGGCTGCCCTCTCTGCGGCTCTCCCCACTGCCCTCCTTTCCAAACTCCATCCTCTCCCCACTCGCTCTCTTGAGCTGGAGAGTGCAGGTTTGGTCCGTCTTTTGTCCCGGGTACTTCCACCGCAAGCTCCCTGAGGTCTGTCTAGGCATCTTCCCAGTCTCCTTTCCTCCACCGTGCCCAGGCAGGGAGGAGTGGATTCTGACCCACTCGCTTTTCGGTTTGATACCAAGTGTGTCTCCCGAGATGCTTTCCTCAACTTGCACATCTTCGATGGCGTTTTCTTGAATGGTTGAAATGAGATTCATCTGAAAACACTGAATGGAGTGATGACAGGAATTTAGGGTTAAATCACCAGAGGGGGCTCCCCCATGGGACAGGCAACCACGTTGTCATTTTCTCTCAAGTGATTTATTACTGGTAGGGGGTTACCAGTTCATGTTACTAGCCATACCATAGAAAAGATTGTTCATGAGGTTAGTAGTTTGAACGAGTGTGCCAGCGCAGGAGTGTTGGGTTTAGTTCCCTAGGTCTTTTCCTAATGAACATCATCACTATTTATACAGCTAGTGTGGTACAGCGATGCAGGATAGTGCTTGGTGGAACCTCTGGTATAAAAAGACGTCATCTTTATCATGAATTTGAAACCTTGCAATTCTGTAAAATATTGGAATCTCAACCAAGGCTATTCTGCTTGAAGTTAGCACCCCCAAGATTGCCCTGATGTTACCTTGATATAAGAAAAAAAAGTCTGATGCCAAGTGATTGTAGATTATTTTCTACCAGTGCATCAGCGAACCCCACCATGTAGGAAAACATCAACTCCTTTGAGTTCTTTTTTTCTGTGACAAGTCAAGGTGTGTGAACCAAGACATGCTAGCTGGGTGTTTCTTAGCTCCTTGTCACTCCTTAGCCCCTGCCTCCTCTTTGTTGACAGAGTGTGTTGCTGTTTGGTAAGCAGTGCCAAGTGCTAAGAATCAGGAAAGGTGCAGACCTTTGCAGAACTTTGTGAATTTAACACTCGTAGAACTTCACATAGCTGAAGCTAATTGAAAAAGCAGAGCTGTATAAAATTACTGGCAAATGGGAAACTTACAGAACAAGAGCAAGGTCCCCAAAATCAAACCTGAATTTCATTTTTTTTAAAAATGAGAAAACTATATTTCTATACATGTGAAATTAAAATGCTTGATTTCTTTTTCTCGTGCTTTCCTACCCTCCTCTCCCCAAACCATAGACTCTTAATGTGTATGATTTCAAAATATAAAATCAATAAATCTCAATGTGTGCAGTTTTAGGGGGAGAGGTATGTATTACTAAAATTAGGAACTTCTGATCTCTTTTTTTTCTTGGTATTTTGAACTTCATGTGACTTCTGCTTTTTAGGGTCTGTCTTAAGAACAACATACTTACGCACTTAGGGCATTCACTTCCTGTGTAAATGCCCTTGTGTTTGGGTGGTATTCTTTGGTAAAGCTTTCTTTTTAGGGAGAATTGGTGATGGTGAGCTTTTTCTCTTGATATTTTAGAATTGAGAAATGTCAACTGGAGAGTAATTGTAGGAAACAGCCTTTGGTAATAGTTATCTTGTTGCTATTTTTCAAATGGACTCTTGGATTTGCCATTGGATCCTTCTTCTGAGATTCTAATTTGTTTTGTATTTGTCTCAAGGGCTTTACCGTTTACAGAGCAACAGTCAGTCCTTGTGCTGAGTTAGGGTTGTGTTACCTTGAAATTATCAGGTAAAGCATCTTGCAAATAGGCTACCTGGTTAATTTGGGAATGGGGAAGGGTGGGGAGGTTTCTAGATCCTGTAAGAAAGTTTATTTCACGTTAAACAGCATCAGCATTAATGACTCAAAAAGCCGTTATGATTTCACTCTGTTGGTGAAGGATGCGGTCAGATCTTTTCTGGTAAGAATTTCTATCTCTGCTTCATTTTGGAGTGAGCCATGTGATCTCCAGTCGTTGGTGTTCTTGAAAAAGATGTTTAGATTTTGAGTCCTTGCCAATTGGTCTGTCACCATTGAATTTTTATTTCTAGCTAATAATATTTAGTCACTCCAATATTCTTTATTTTAGTTACTTTACCTTTTCCACAGTTTTAAACAGAAATGGAACACCAGTCTGCCAGGGCACTGCCTCCTGTGCCTGTTACAGCAATCTCAGAAAATGGAACGAACATTCAGCCCAGGGGAGATTTTGCTCCTCTGAACTGGCAAGAAGCAAACATTTTGTTATGTTGACATATTATTCAATTAAGGAGCCAATGAGTATAAATCCTGTAAAAGCTGACTGTTTGTTCAAATTATATACCTCCTCTGGTTAATAGAAACATTTGTTGAACTAATGGAGCTAACAGGACCTACTGGGAATGGTAAGCTGACCTGTGGACTCAGTCACTGCGTAGAATCGGTTAAAACAGAAGTCTTGAGGTGTGCATACCAGTTGTACCCCGTGTTAGAAAAGAAATACTATTTTGATTTAAGTAGGGCCTAATTTATAAGCAAGGTATACACAAAGAGTCAACCACTTGAGCCTGAGCCTAATTAAGACAGCTTTCCCTTAGATTCTAATACCCTGTTAGCCTTTTTCAAACAGAATAAAATTGAATCTAGATCATATCACATGGTTGAAAGAAGTTGAGAGACCCAAACACGATCATTTCCCTGGAGGCTTGATTCTGTTTTTAGGACATTGAAAATTATGCATTGTCAATTGCAAAGCTTATTACATCAAATATTACTACTCTATGGGAAGATCTGAGAAGAACGTGTCTGGGATTCTCTATACTGTTACTGTTTGTTATCCTAATTATCTTACATAGTTACAGAGCCATTGCTGTGAGATAGGGAGGGGGCACACTGTGATGAACCCCACCACAGCCACACGCAAACGATTGAGCCAAGAAAGATGCACGCTCTGAAGCACAGCTGCTTCAAGATTCTGATTAACCACCGGTATGGAAGAGTAGCATTTCGATGACTTTCATTACTCTTTATTCATAGAATGTTGATGATTTCCTGTGAAGAACTATCCAGACACGGACAAATGGTAATATGGTAGTTTGCATCTTCCTTTTTGTAAAACTGCCACATGCAGTAGCAGTGTATTTTCCTTCTTCTGTGGAAATGGAGTACATTCTGTAATTTGCTAACTCTAAATCATTGAACACGTGGTGGATCATTTCAAATAATCTTGCCCTCTTCGGTTTTAGGGTATTTCATGGTGGCACTGTCCTGTGCCACAGCCTAACTCAGAACTGCAAAGTAGATATTAAAAGAATGAATAGAGCTGGGGATGTAGCTCAGTGTTAGAACACTTGCCTAGCATGTGTGAGGCCCTAGGTTCAATGTCAGATACTGAGAAAAAGAAAAGAATACCTTTCAGGAAGAAAGATCTATCTATCTATCTATCTATCTATCTATCTATCAAAGAGCAGGCTGGCCTCAAACTTGTGACAGTTTTCCTGCCTCAGCCTTCTGAGTGCTGGGTTTATAGGTGCACACCAAACCTGGCAGAAAATTCTCTTTATTAGTGATAGGAGTATTTCTATGTCTAAAACAGTGGATGTGTTCTTCTTTTTCCCTAAGGTACACTTTCAAAAGGTAATTTGTTCTGCCCTTTCAGTTATTATTTTGTTCTTGGTCAAAGTTAATTTGTGCCAGTGCCTAGAAGCTGCAAGGACTGCCTGGAGCTGCCAGTTCTTAGAAACAGATGTTCCAGTGTCATCATTGTTGGACCTCACTTGGCCCCATTTGAGCATTGTGAAATACTTTGAATCAAGAGCCCTGTGGATGTCTTTGAGGTACAGGCAGTTCTGG